CCCCATTTCATAGATGAGAAAACTGATTTTTAAGTTTAATTTGTTGGGGTGACATTGGTTAATAACAGTTATACAGGTTTCAGGTGTACAATTCTATAATACATCATCTGCATGTTGTATCATGTGTTCAAGTCTCCTTCCATCATCATTAAAGTGCTAGGTAACATGCCTGAAGGCACACACCTAGTCACGGGTAGAGAAGGACATGCTTCACCCTCCCAAACCCGGGGCTGCAGTGCTTAATGCCAGGGCATGCGTTTTCTAGCTTGTCTCCTTGGTCACCACATGCTTCTCGGGAGGGAGGTCGTGCCATTCTAATATGTGTGTCTACATGGCGCACGGTGGGAATTCTGCAAATGTTTGCTGAATAAATGAATCTTAAGTGGAGTTCTAGGTTTCTAAATCTAAGACAAAGGGCATGAGTATAATGAAATAAAGAAATGCTTAAGCCAAATCGCATTATCTTTCAGGTGGAGCAGAGGTAGGGACATTTCATTTACTTGTTGAAACAATCAGATTGGAAAAGAACCAGCCAACATCCGCGTGGAGGATCTGAAAACAATGTGGCTAATAAACCCACCTGTGGGTGTGCTGGGTGCAGGAAGCTTCCTTCCGTGGCAGGAAGTGGTCGCGGGGATAACATTTCACAAGGGTGGAAATTAGCATGGAGAACCCGGGATGGTTGCCTCAGAAGCATTAGTTTGTTTCTGAAGGCTTTGAAAAGGGCTGAGGTCAAACTATGCATTTGCTGTGCCCTTTAAAAAATAATGAGAACATCTGGGTTTAAGTGCTGCTGTCGTCCTAGTCTACATTAATAAGTCACCATTTCAAATGGAGTGTGGCAGGAGGGCGCTGCTGGAAATCTGGCTCTGTCCTTGGTGTGGAGGAGAGGTTAATGGGTCAAAGCCTAGAATAAAACAAACCCCTGAGCGATCCCAGATTGGCCGTCACGGACGCAGGTGGGGCTTCAGCAAGATGAAGACTTTCTGGCACGTTGTTGTCATGCAGCTCTGGGCCCGTCAATGGAAGGGCCTGCTGTGACAGTTGTCTCTGGAAACCTGCGCAGATTTGGATGAGGTCCAGGAGAGGGTCTGAGAGTGGTCAAAGCACGTAACCATCCAGAGAGCATGAGCGGCGTGTCAAACATCAGTGTCTTTATGTTTCTGAAGTGTTGGTCATTCTTGACTATACGTCACTGTAACTGTCCACCCTCACCATGATCCACCTGCCTGACAGGGCTGACTGGGGGTGGGGATCTAGGGTAGATGATGGGTGGCTTTAGTCAGGCCTCATTGGTACCCTCTGTGTGTTTTGCATCCTGCATCCTGGGATACCCAAGATATGGAAAGACTTAGGCGGAGGGCACGCTGATCAAGAGTGGGGCCTCAGGAGTGGACCACCATCCGTTCACATCTTGCCTCCCTGCTTTCTGGTTGTGAGGACCAGAGCAAATGCTTTTTTTTGCACTCGGCCTCAGTTTCCCCTGCACAGGATGAGGCTGAGGATGAGCATCACAGTGCTCCAAAGGGTAGTTATGAGTATAAAACGAGACACTACATTTAAATCATGCATCAGATTCCGGCTCACAGTGAATACCCACATAGTAATGTCCATTGCCAGCTCTGACTCCCAGAGCTGAAGGCTGGAAGAGGAAAAACTGCCCTTGAGTGTTGCAGGGAGGAGCCTCAGGCTCGAGCCCTTTGCTCTGAGGAGTGTTAGGCGGCCTCACCAAATACATCTTCTAGGCAGCTCCTCTTTTGGGGAGACTTTCCCCAGTGGTCAGGGCCTAGGGAAATTAGTCTCCCCTCTTCCCTCCACACTCCACTCAAGTCTAGGACCCTCAAGGTGCAACATCTACCCGGCACAGGGAACTCTTCCCATCCCGTTTCTGGCAGGGCTGGGGCAGGGCTCAGGAGCGGTGAGGAAATTCATGGGAGTCACCCTCGGAGGTGGGGCGGGGCGGGGAAGGACTGCAAAGTTCACAGGGAAACCAATCCCTCCTCCCCAGAGCAGGAATGGGGCCCAGCCCACGCCCACTGTGTGGGGGAGGAACGCCCTGGGCTGCGGTGCCCCCACCTCAGTTACAACCCCTCTCCCAGGCCCCTCCTGACGGTTGGTCTGCAGTGAGAACTGCACAAGGTAAGGCCCCTGGAGCTCTTCTCCCAGGCACACCTGGCGGGGCAGCTCTGGGGCAGCAGGCAGATGTGGGCACCTGCGCAGGGAGTGCGAGGGCTCCCAGTCCGTGTGCAGGTCCCATTGGTGTGCTTCTCTGGTGGCTGCTGAGGCCACATCTCCATAACAGGCACCGAGAGGTCACACATGGACGCGCATGCACAAACACACCGACACACTCCCCACCTTCCCCGCCAAGGAGGTTACACAAAAGCATGCAGCCAGCTAAGTGTGAGACTAGTGGGGAGGTGTGGGTTTGTGCTGACCTGGAAACCTTATGATTGATTCAAAGGAAGAGAATTTTCTGGTTTTCGAAACACATCTGGCTGGGCACAGTCTGCCCATGGCCTGTCTCCTCCTATTTGGTGGTAAGGGGCTGGCCATGGGGTGGGGCAGCATGGCCTGGGGACCACTGGGCATGCTAACGAAGCTTCATCCACAGGGGCCTGGGTGGAGAGGGAGAGGTGAGCTCGACCAGCCCCTGGGCAGCTGTGCAGGCACGCCGTGGCCAAGCTGCTGGGCCTTGTCCTGGGGGGAGACCCCGGGGCCTGTGCCTTCGGAGCCTCTGACAGTCACGGGTCCTGTCTGCAGAGGGAGGGAGGCCCAGGGGCCAGGCCAGTTGGTAGTGCTGCCTGGTCCCTGCAGGTGACTGACTGGGTGGCCTTGGGTCACATGCTTTTCCCAGCTTCTGGGGAACCACACTCCTCCCCACAGAGGGGCCAGGGTCTCCCGAAGTTTCTGCAAACTGAGCGCCTCTGTCTGAAGCCTATTTCCTCTCCAGCAGCGATGCCCCTGCACACGAGGCCTGGGCTTCTCAAAGGGAATTTCACCAAAAAGGAGGCCGAAGGCAATAAAGAACGTGCAAACCTAATACACTGGAAACAGGCCAGGAGTTCCCCGATACTGCCAGGAAATGGGAGGTACGCCCAAGAGCACGAAGTCCTCTCTCTAGCTTCCCCGTCTCCTGCACTTTAGAAAGCCCCACTAAAGTGACCGAGAAGCCTGGCCAGTAAAAGGCAATCTGTGGCCTACTTTCAGCCTGGATCCTTTTCAAAACCAAGCGGAGGCCCGCCCTCAGCGTTAGCAGCGCCCTCTGTGCGGAGGAAGGGATGTGGCCAGAGGAGCAGTGGTGTGCGCCATGGCTGCAGACCCTTCCTCTGGCTGAGATAAAGCGGATTTAAACGTCTCTAGCTAGTCCATTAGGGTAGATACAGGTCAAAACAGATTCTAGAAGGAGGCGGGCCGGGCTCTGGGCAGGTGTGGCCGGGACCATCCCTGAGACATCTGCAAGCGGAAGGGCTGTGCTTCCGCTTCAGGGAACGGGGCTTACAGGAGGCAGGGCGGAGTCCAGATCAAGTTGTAGAACAGACCTTGAACCCAGACATGGGAACCTATGTAGGGTTCCCTGCCCCTCCCTGGGTGGGCAGTTGGGGGTCTGGGCAGTCATTCCCAGAGTGCAGGGGACAGGTGGCCCTGACAGTGTCTGGAGCTGGCTCCCCGCCAGCTCATCTCGGGTCTCAGCAGAGCAGGTCCAGACCTTCCTGGTGTCTGCGGGGCGGGCTTCCTACCCTGTAAGGCAGAGAGCTCTTGGGCAAGAGTCCCAGCCTTTTTGAGAGTTGAGGGACCAGGACTCCAGGCCGGCTGTCCCTCTGACCTGCAACGTGACCTTGGGTAGGGTCATGCCCCTATTTGAGCTCATCTTATGTCAGGAGTTGTGGAATTAGGTCACCTCAAACGGCAGGTTCTTTGCTAACTCAGGGCCTCCATGCTGCAGACCCCACTGGCCAGTCCACCAGTGAGCCTGGCCCGGTGCCTGGGAGTGACCTGGGTCCCCTGAGCTCTGAAGTATGTCATGGCTTCTCCCAAGAGGCTTTATCCCCAGTCCAGCTATCTGATCAGTTCATGCATCGTTGATCCTTCAAAAACCTGGCCAGCAGGGCCGGTTACCTCCATTGCACAGACCAGAAAGCTTGGTCCCAGAGGGCCCCGATGGCTCTCCCAGGTCACCCGGTGGCAGGTGGCAGGCTGAGGCCAGAAGCAGCACTGTTTGAGTCTGAGCTGGGGGACATTCCCCATCCACCGAGATCCATGCACAGGATTTGGTCCAGTGATGGAGAAGGACTCGCTGAGCTGTGGGCGTCTCCTCCTTGTCCCCAGGGACAGTGAGGCCCAGTGCTCAGAGCTCAGAACACTGCCGCTCACTTTCCCGACACAGATCCTGGCCCTGTGGGGGGCCTGGGCTAGGGCAGGGTTTGCCCTAGGGAAGTGAGAAGGCAGCACTCAGGGCCTTGGTCCCACTGGTTCTGCTCTGTCTCTCCTCCCGCAAGTCAAGCAGCCCCAGGATTAGGCGGGTGAGGGAGAGGAGCCAGCCCAGGAACCACTTCCCCCCCAGCCCTGCAGAGCATCAGGGAAGCCCGAGGTCTCCGTGACCAGCCCTCCAGCTCAGCTGGGAATTCTCTCTCCATGACAGGGGCCCGTGGTGTGAATAAAGCCAGATGTGCTCTGCTAACTCTACAGCGAGGCATCAGCCTTTTACACCTTCACCTTCAGCCACCGCCCCCTCGAAGCAGCCCCACGGGAGGTGGGGCCGACCCTCCACTCATTTCCAAGATGAGGAGGCTGAGGGCTCCCAAGGACCTTTGGTTCCCAGTCCCCAGCTGACCCCCTGCACCCACTGTGCCCCGTAGAGCACTGTTCCTGGGGGTCTTGGGGAAGAAAGTGTGGTCAGATGCGTCTGTCCATCCCCAGCCAGCTGGCTTCCACGGTTGGGCCAGCCCATCTGCTCTGCCCAGCACGCAGAGGACTACAGCAGGGAGGTGGGGTCCTACCTGCAGCGGTGGTGATGCCCAGGAGCCGGCAGGTGTATTCCAGCCCCGTCCAGAACACCTGCAGCTTCATGGTGCCGGGGCAAGGGCAGCGGCCCAGCAGGGCGGGCAGCAACGGCTCTGGCCCGGGATGCTCTCAGACGTCCCGTGTCCAGGGAGGCTGTGGCTGCCAGCTTGGGGCCCTTGTGCCCTGGGGCCCTGCTGACCCAAACCAGTCCCAGCCACTGCAGCCTGGTCGAGGTGTGAATGGACTCACTTTCCTGCCGGCTGCCTGTGCCTTTGCCAGGCACTCGGCTTAATCATTACCTTGGAAAAATGTCCCCACTGCTTTCAGCGGCTGACATGGCCCCAGTGGCAGCCTGAGATCAGGCCGATTAGGGCTGGGCTGGAGGCAGGCAGCCTGGAGCTGGCAATCAGCTGCTTCTGGCTGGGAGGAGGGAGCCGGCCCAGGAGCCAGCCTGGGCTCTTCCGTCCTGGGCAGCTCAGAGACAGGCCCACCTGGACCTCGGGCTGCGGGGTCTGGGGAGTGGTGTCTGGAGGTGGCAGTGTGCAGGTGAGAGAGAGATGTGTCTCTAAATCAACAGCAGAAACACCCTCTGAGAGGAGTTCTCAGCTCCCACATTTTGGAATATCGGGGATTAGAAAGCTTTCGAGTCTGGGGCAGGTTTGGACTCTGGCCAGGAACACTAAGCTCAGACCCGAGTCACATGGGACCTTCCTTTATTCCCGACGCGTCTCTGGACATGTGATGTGGGAAATCACTATTATTCTTGGGGAGGGAGTTGCTATGACAATAATTAACTGGTGACCTTGGAGAAACACAAAGGTATTTGTGAGCCTCAGAAACTTGCAGAAAATAAGTGAGAGGGTTTGACTGGATTGGTGGTTCTTAAAGTATGCCCCGAGGGCTGCGCCAAGAAGCCCGGCTTCTAAAATTTGGCCATTGTGGGCTTTCACTAATTCTGAATTTACTAAATTATGTAAGAGGTTGAATGATGCCAAATGTTAGCTTTTCTCCCAGGCTTTTTCTGAAACCTTTACCCCCTAAAAAAAGTTTGTATTGATTGTTTTAGAAAGGAAGGGAGGAGAGAGAGAGAAAAAGAAAAAACAAAAAACATTGATCGGATGCCTCCCACAAGCGCCCCAACTGGGGATCGAACCCATAACCTAGGTATATGCCCCGACAGGGAATCAAACCCACCACCCTTTGGTACATGGGATGATGCTCCAACCAACTGGCCAGGGCTCATGTGACCTTTAAGACCAAGTTTCAAAATGTATGATTTGACATAACTATTTATTTCTTCGGTTAGCTGAATGTGTTTAACAGCAGACACAGATTTCGACACCTGAGCCCCCTCCCCCAAACATTGCTACCTGGGTCCCTGTGGCACGCCCTGCACCACGCAGACGCAGACGGAGCTGCTGGGCTGGGGCAGCCGAGGCTCCGGGGCAGGAGGCCCGTTCTCGCTGGCTGCCCTCCTTCATTCCTCCTTCATCCTCGGGAACAAAGCTGTTGTTCCTGACGCCTTTGGCCCTGGAGGCAGGGAGCCCCTCTAGGCTTTGGGAGGCAGGTCTGGCCTCACCTTCCCAGTGGCTTTGGGTTAGGAATGAGACAATGACCTAGTTCTGTCCAAGAGTCTGGGAGCAGCATGTGCTGCTGGCTCCTGGGAAAGTGAACCTCAGGTTTAACCAGGCCCAAGACAGGCTTCGTTCCTCCCTTTGGGTCCACCTGTGCTGGAGGGGAGCTAGCTCGTGATGGGAGGGCCAGGGGCTGAGGCAAAGGCCTGAGCGGCGCCTGGAGCCTGCCCGGTGGGATGGCGAGAGACACTTAGCTACTGGACTTCCTGTTCCGTGTTGTTAAGCGGCCTTCCTTAGGCTCTATCGCAGCTGGAAGCATCTTTCCTGACACAGTGGGTGGTGCCTGAGCCGAGTTCTCCCCACAGCCGTTTCCTCGCCAAGCTCTTTTCTGCGCGCTGGGCCCAGGTGGAGGCCTAGAGGCTGGGGGTTTGGGTGCTCTTCCAGCCTGAGGGTGCCCCTGCCTCACCAGGGCTGCCCCTAAGTGGAAGGAAGAGGGGGTGTGGGGCTGGTGGTGGAAGGAGAGGAGGGCGTATTGCAAAAGTAAAATCCCAGAGAGGGCCCGTCTTGAAGAAACTGCAGACTGACCGAGGTAGTGACCCCTCCTCCCCGAGTCGGCCTTCTGTGAGCTCTGCGGGGAGAGGAGGCACCTGGCTGGGCGGACGAGTGGCCTTGACCTCAGAATCCGAGGGAAGGTTGCCAGGAGCCAAGGGCCAGAAGCCCTGCAATGGAGGCTGCACGGAGGAGGTGGTGAAGTACCCAGTACCCATGTCTGACCTGCA